ATATTAATTTAAATTTTTTGAAATGAAATTATGCTTAAAAACGGTGAAAGGGAAAGAGATAAAAAAAAAACAGATATGCGGCTGTACCTTTATGCTAATTGTAAATACTAAATAGCATAATTAAAGAGTGTGTTTGTGTGTGTGTCTTCAATTTAATCTTAATTACGTAATGGATTTTTTTAAAAAAAATTTTACATCAGTATTTTTTGAATCTTGGATTTTTAACTCCATTCTTATCACTTAAACTATACTCAAATTAATTAATGACTCAAGTATATGATTTGTATATGTTTAATCTGACATTTTTCTTCGATAAGTTTTTCTTAGATAAGAATCAGAAAAAAGAAAAATTAAAAACAAAAAGATCTTGAGCAACATAATGATAAATAAAGACCATACAATAGTAAAATGATTTATCAAAGGATTCTTTTTTTTTTTTTAACCCAAAGTCAAAGAACAAATAGAACCTAACGCCAAGTTCTTTGACCTCTCATTGCTGCCCGTTCCTCTCATTCGCTGCCTCTTCTCTATTCGCCACTTGAAATGTTTTATAAGTGTAAAATGAAATTTGAATTGTATAATAATTAAACTAAAATATTCTAAGTATCATTCTAGTTTACATCAATTACACAGACCTCCCTTCTATTTTAAAAATATACAGTTTAGTTTAATAAGTTAATATCGTCAAAAAGATTCTAAAAACACTGTTTTTAACTGAAATTTATATTATAATAAATTTTATTTACCATTTTACCTCTCATTGTAATAAATTTATAAATTATATTTTTACAATTATATGAATTTTATTTAGTTAAGGCAATACAAAAGACTTGATTAAAAATTTAACTAATTTTTTAATAAATATATATATAGTTGACTGAATATGTTTATAAATTTTTATAATAAAGATGTGTTTAAAAATTTTGAATTATAAATTTATATAATTTATAAAATCTTTTAAACTTATATCATTTAAAATTTATGATAAATAAAAATTTTGTATTTAAAATATATTTTTACAATTAAAAGAAATCAAAATAAATGATTTCTAATGAATGTGATAAAAAATTAAAAAATAAAATTTTATGATTTAAATCAAAATTAATAAATTTTATAACATATCAGAAATTTTTTAAAAAAAATATGTAGCAGAATTTTTTTGATTTTATAAAAAAATTTTGAAAAATATAAATGTCTAAATAATTATTAAGCTAAAAAGGGGTGTTTTGGTTAAAAGATAATTTAAAGTCAAACTTAACGGTCACATAACCGTTTGGGTAGATGAAAATAAAATCTTAAATATAAAAAGGAGATTTGTGTAATATATATTTTTATTTTAAAGGAGGTTTATATATGTTTAAAATAAAAAGAAGGCTTGCGTAATTGAAATATAATAAAAAGGTAGTTGGTGTATTTTATTCTAATAATTAAATGAAGATGACAAGAGCCAACTAATTTAAGCGATAAAAAATCCGTTTCACTAGAATAGAAATAATATGTTTATTAATAGTTTTCTTTTTAACGAGACAAACACATACATACACAAAGATATATATTTTTCTTTTAACAAGGGCTTTGTCCTATTGAGTTTTTTTTTTTTTTAAGTATGGCTCTAACAAGGCACATTGTTTACTTGTGGATATTTAAGAATGAGTGTTATAAATATTATTACAACATATGAACGTCCATAACCTCTCAAATGTCATTTGGAGGTCTACACTTAAAACTCTTCATTAATGATTTTTAGGAGTTTTCATTATATATGTTTAATTTATTGTATTATATATATTTTTATTACTACTTCCGGTTCTAATTATAAGATTTTGTTTATAAATTGTGAACAAAATCTTATAACTAGGACTGGAAGTAATATTTATTTATATAACTCTTGATCTAACGCTAGAGGCTTACAAGTAGAGTATAGAGGCTATGTGAGGCACTTAAGACGCCTAAAACGAGTGGGATTCTTCCTATGCCTCATCCCTACTACAACCCTCTCTCACCCTATTAAAGCCTTTTATATTTATACGTTTCATAACACGTTTAAAAAATTTATTTTTATTTAAAAATAACACATTTTACTCTATGCTTTTACTGTTCTAACCATAGAAAAGGGGTATTAGTGACAAAAATTAGTACTTATCTGATTTTAAATATAAAACCTACTACTTTATATTCTTAATATAAGAGTTTATCTGACTTTATTTTAATCCTAAATATAAGATCCCAATTAACTTTATCTTTCATATTTATCAATTTAATCATAAAGTGATCCTTGTAATAATGATAGTTCTAACCAATATACTAGTATTTGATTAGCGAGTATATTTGAGGAAAAACAACATCTAATTATTATAAATAACTAACATAACTAATTTTCTTAATCTACTAAAATTAGTCAACTAACTCTCATATTAAAGATTAAGGATAATATTTTATAACATAAATTATATTATAAAATGAGCTTTATATTTAAAAATATGTTAGCATTTGTATATAGTAAAATGGAAAGCACTAGGCAATCCTCAATCAATTCATGACATTAAGAAACGGTACAAAATTAGGTGCGAAAATTTAAGATTGGCAAAAACGTTCGTACGTGTTCCTTATTTTCTTCTCGTTGATCACTCATTGTTGATTAATGGAAAAGATTTAATCAAAGGAAGGGTCACTTCTACGAAAATCCTAATCCAACCGTGGCCCAAAAAGCCGTCTTATAAAAGGAAACCTGACAAAGACACTTTCGGAAAAATAAAAAATAAAAACTCCTTTAATAAAGAAACGCTGCGCGGCTTTTAATTCATCAAGTTATTCCGGATACCTTCTTAATTGCTAATTTATAAATATTATATAAATAGATTGTTGTAATTTTTATTCTTTTCATTAAGTTTTTGTGGTTTTCTTAAGCTGTTTAGTAAGAAAAACAATGTTAATAAAAGGTGGACATGACTCTCATCCAACATATACCTATATCAATTTTACCTACTTTTTTAATTTCTTTGGACAAAAAGTCATGCCCTGCTTTCTTAGTGCTTGTTTTTTGAAAAGCAACTATTTTGTTAGGCATATATATCTTTTTATTACAAGTAATTCTATTCAAGGTATTGTTGGGCATTAGGTTATGTATCCCAACAAATATTCAAATTTTGTGTTGTCTTATTATGAGATATTAACCCCTTCTGTTAAATTCATCTACTATTGGTTTAAAAAAATACTCCTACGGTCCTTAATATAGGACCCAATTGTTAAGTTGGTTTTTGTTCTAAATATAAGACCCATTTGTCATATTTATCAATTTTCTCTAAATTACTCTTACGAATACTTCTTCAACCATAATCAAATAGAAGAGGGAGATGAAGTATTAAGAAAGATGATTATGGTATTTTAGAAAAAACATATCAGATTTCTTATAATTAACTAACTAAATTCATCTACTATTAGTTTAAAAAATAGCATTTTTAGTCATAATGAATAAAATACTAGATAAATATATAAAAAAAAATTTCACATGACTATGTAATAGATTCACCGCCACATTGTCCATATATTTTATATTTACAGTTTAATGATGATAATGGAATTAAGGAGTCCATAATTACTTTCTATAAAAATCAGCACCACTTTTAGTTAACGAAGGAGAGGCGTTAGGTATATTTAATTATTTATCATTATTTATAATTATTAATATTAGAACTAACGGTCTCAACTCCCAAAGACGTAGCTGTTAGCCACTAATGTGGCATTCTGCCTCTTTCTTTACCGTTAAGTCCTGAAAAGTCAGCACCGAGACGTCAAACCATGAATAAAGTTGTAATAAAAAATTTGTTAAGACAAAAGGAGAGAGCAAAAGTATATAAAATTATATTGTATGACCCAGATTTAATACTATTTATAATATAAACCCAAAATAAACTCCAATTATTCTCAAACGTAAAAGGACCTATATGTCTTCTTTTTTTTTGGAATTAAATGCTAGATAACATTACTTAAAAGTTAAAACAACTGAAAATTATATCCACTCTCTCTCATTCACTTTCCTCTTATGAGCACATAGGTGCAGGTTGATCAAGGATACAAAAATTATAACCAATCATATGAGATAATTTAGTAAGAAATTGGCAATGCAATCATCCTGCTTGTAAATATGTTATAAGGACTTATAGTTCATGTTGAAACTTTTCCAAAAGGTTATCACCTAAGTTTTGCATAACTATATTGAAAAAAAATTTACAATTATCCTTAGGAATATTAAATTTTTATTACATTATTTCCCAAATTCTCATTTTACAAATTACAATTTATAGTTCCTTAAACTATAAAATAAAATATGATAATTAGACTTAGATTATAGGCTTTATATATTATCTAACTTTTAAAATTTTTTCATTAAAATTTCATCACATAATTTTTTTCTGTTATAAAAGACTTAATTATTTCTTAACATTGTTTATTTTAATTGTCAAATTAGAAAGTGTCTTCGTTATCAAATATAAAAGCTAGTAAATGATTTGCTTTTATTGCAAATATGAGATTTCAATTTGTTATCTTTTAAATTTATAATTTTTTCTTAAATTATTTCTATTTTATGATTATTATCTTTTTTTTAATGTTAGAATGGACAATATATGATTATACTATGGAGCTTTAAAATTTCTTTATGCCTATTCTTTAAGTATTAAAAGTTATAATGAAAAATTTTAAGTCATAAGGAATTTTTATGGTTATCATTACCGAAATCTAAATTTCTAACCATAAAGGCATGTTTGTCCATCAATGACAAAAGGAACATTTTTTATCATAAAAATAACTTAAAACTGTGTCTTTGATCATAAATTTAACCAGGTCTGGGTACACCAATGTAATTTTTCTATGCGGGTCTGTTAGTGTAATATTTTCCAAACGAGAAAGGCCAAAGTGGGGCATGATGCCCCAGCTGGCCCAAGCCCACGTACCTTTCTTTGAAGACATCCAAAGCGAAGGAAAAGCTGTGGAATTCTTATTCTTCTCTTCCGTTAGATTAGGTTCATACTCAATTGATTTGATCCTTCTTTGCTTTCACGCTTTCAAGTTGCGAAGTTTTAATTCGCTCAGAATATGCCTGAAGTGGATAGTTCCTCCACCAAACCCCCTCAAATCTCCGAGATGTTCCAGAAATTTGCCCTCGCTTTCAAGACCAAAACCTTCGAGTTCTTCGCCGACGAAGATCAGGCCGCCGGCGCCGCAGGTGAAGACTCCGATGGCTTCTCCCTCTTGGATTCTGCCGAAGATTTCATCACCGACCAGAAAGTTGTGGTCATCAAACCAGATCCAGCCTGCAATTTCTCTCCCGAAACGACGCCGTCTCCGCCTGAGCCGCCTATAGCGAAGCCTGCGGGTGAGAGCCCGGTGAAGAAGTTGGAGCAAACTGAGAAATTATTGTCGCCGGCTCAACAAGCGGCAGTGACGAAGTCATTGAGCGAGAGTGAGATCAGAGCATTGAATACTCAGATGATGCACACGGTGATTTCCTCGATCTTCGCTACGGTTTCGTCATTTGAAGCTTCGTATGTTCAGTTGCAGACTGCTCATGTTCCGTTTATTGAGGAAAATGTGAAGGCGGCTGATAGAGTTTTGGTTTCACACCTTGAGAGACTATCCGAATTCAAAAAATTCTTTAGAGATTGGCAAAGGAGTCCTGATTTTGATTCTGAATTTCCTATCAGGTCTTGCTTAGGAGCTCAGGTGGAAGAAAATCAGAACAAGCTGCGGACTCTGGGGACTGTTTCGAACCGCTTACAGTCAGAGCTTGAACAAAAACATGATGAGGTTTCGGTTCTAAGGAAAAAGTTGGACGAGATTCAAAAGACTAATGTCAAGTTGTCCAAGAAGTTATGCGGTAACTTGAATTCTTCTAATGATGTTTTGCTAACCGTAAGAGTGTTTGATTCGGTCTTGCATGATGCTTCTAGGGAAACTCACAAATTTACTAAGATATTGATTAGTTTGATGAGAAAAGCTGGGTGGAACTTGGATGTAGTGGCCAACGCAGTTCATCCAAACATCAACTATGCAAAGAAAGGGCATAATCAGTTTGCTCTTTTGTCATATGTATGTTTAGTGATGTTTCAAGGTTTTGATTTGGAAGATTTTGGGATGAATTCCGGTGAACCCATGTCAGATGGCCATGATTTAGATTCAGAAAATAAAAGTAGGTTTTTGAAGCAACTGCTTGAGCATGTATCCAGCAATCCAATGGAGTTGCTTAGCATCCATCCTACTTGCGAGTTTTCAAAATTTTGCGAGCAGCAATACGAGAGACTTGTCCATCCTACGATGGAATCATCCATTTTCATTGATTTGGATGGAAATGAAACGGTACTGAAGTCATGGAGGTCAATAAGCATGTTCTATGATGCTTTTGTTAGAATGGCTAGCGCCATATGGACACTTCATAAGTTATCCCATGCCTTTGATCCCGTGGTAGAAATTTTTCAAGTGCAGAGAGATGTAGACTTCTCAATGGTATACATGGAGGATGTTACAAGGAGAGTTACTTGGCCAAATAAAAGAAGGGCAAAAGTGGGATTCACAGTGGTTCCAGGATTTAAAATCGGGGAGATAGTTATTCAATCACAGGTTTATCTGAATGACTTGAAATGTACAGAGTAGTATAAGTAGTTGTTCTTGTTCAAGATATGCTATCAGATGAGACTGTATTTGTAAGGTACCAAACCTGTTGGCGGCTCTGGCAGTGTATACCTTGTTCGCTTTTCATTGTAAGTGAAATCCACTAACTTTCCTGGAATTTATACCAAGAAGATGCCTGTTACAGATTGAGAAAGAAACGCTATGTATGCCAGAAGAAGATGTTTGGTTCTTCTGCTGCTGTAGTGGGAACAAGGCAAGTTGTGACAAGTCTTCCCGTCTATTTGTTGTTAAAACTCATGTGCAATAGGTAGCCTGCGGACACTTCCCTTGTTTTATCTTTCTTTTCTGTTTGTCAGTTTTGTTTTGCTGTTTATAGGTTAGTTGTGTAGAGCTCTGTGTACAGAATACTACCCCGTTTCTGGGGACTATGAAAGCTGATCAGTCAATTGTGTATCTATCTCAAAAAACGAATAAATGTTTCCTTATGGTTATCAGTAACATTTTATTTCAAGAATATATGGCTTTGTTTATGTTTTTTGCTAGCAAGTAACTTTATGCTGTGGTTAGTAATTTTTTAATATTGTCTCTTTTGGTTCTGTTTTCGATATGGGAAAATAAATGTTCAAGTTCAAATGTTTCCCAGGTTTGGCTGGCTGAAAATCTTATCTCTTTGTATATGCACATTTTTTTGGGCATAATTCTGTTGCATGAATAATTTTTGTCCTGTTTTTGCTTGCCAACCCTCTTCCTGAATCTGGACTTAGGTATCCTATGATGAAAAAGTGATAGAGTGATATGTAGAGCCATGGATGAGACCCACTAGATAGATTCCACCCATTTCTGTCTGTCATCATTTTTCTGCAGGAATCCACTCCACACAGTCTCCATGCCCACTTTAGCCATCGAATGATTGTTTTAGGATCCTTCAGATTCTTATGAAGGTGGATGTGTTGCCTGAAATAAACTGTTTTTGAGGGTTAAGTCCAAATATACTTATGCAATATTTGCAAATGCACACTTGGCGTCATAATATTTACATAGATGCAAAAGTGCTCATGAAGATTGCAAAAAGGTGTAAAAATGTCACGTATGCTAATTTAAGCAAATGTCCATTAACATTTAATATAGGGTTAATACAATCTTTGGTCTTAAGTTTGTCTTGATTTTGATTTTGGCCTCTTAAGTTTTAAATCATAGGTTTTAGGAGCAAAGTGGTTCGTGTTTTTATTAAACTATAGGGATTAATATTTTAAATAAAAGGATACTTGAGGGGTTAATACGTGTGATTTAAAGCTTAAGGAATCAAAACTAAAATAAGAGTAAACTTGAGGGACTAAAAATTATATTAACCTTTTAAAATATAAAGAGATTTGCATCTTAATCCTACTTTTAATTAGGCTCTGACAATTTTTGAATATGACTTTTGTCAAATAAAATAAAATAAAATAATGGTTTCTTAGTTATTAGTCGAAGACTCGAAGGTAGAGCACCTAGCTTCTCAAGTCGTTAGCGTTCTCTGGCAAGCATCCCGGAAAAAGGACCTTCTGTTTAATTTTATATTGCAAGGCCAGAAGCTGTTTCCTTCGACCCACTTTGTATAATCTTTCTTTGTTTATTCTGCGAATGGACTTGGAGAGCAATCATTTACTGCAACAAACAAGTTGATCGCCAGCTATGCACTGGAAAACGTAGCTGGGATCTGGTAAGATAGTTGTCTTGGAACTTGCTGTAGCTTTAGTTGGCTGCATCTTTAATCTAATATAATGTTGACGCTGTTGTCGTCAACCAACTTATTCCTTTGTGGTTATTATTTGGCAATGCTAAGTTTAGTTGGCTCTTCAACATGGGTATTTGCTCTTGCTTGAGTGGATAAGTGTTTTTTTTTTTTTTAATAATACTCCTTCTTGTTCTGAATGTAAAAGTTAGTAGATGAGTTTGTTATAGTATTTTCAAATTTTAATTCATTGTGGCTCTTAAATTTATACTTTTTCTCTAAATTCTTCATATTAATTATACAAATGAAGGGATTTTCATTGTGAGTGTAATGTCCAATACAAATAATTAAACAGAATATCTTAGAGAAATTATATATTTTTAAAATAATTAATTATTTTTTTTATATATATACTATCTTGACCAGTTTGCTCCAATTTGAATTGAACTTCACATGGAATAAAAAAGAAATAAAATACTACCTCCGGTCCTAATTAGAAGAGCCAGTTGACTAATTTAAAGAGAGTAAGGAAGTAAGTTGAGTTAGTTATTTTATTGAGTTAGTTATTTTAGAGGATAAAAAAAATTCTTGTATCTCCTATTATATTTAAAAAGTAATGGTACATAGTAGATATTATTGAGAAATACGTACGAGCTAATTAAAAAATTTTGTTTTGATCTTAAACGTAAGGCTTTACTTAATTTTGTCTCATAAATTTATATTTTTTTTCCTTCTAAACTCTTCTTATTGGATGCATATATTAAAGGGTTTTTTTATTAAGAAAATATTTTTCAATACAAATGATTTTAAACGGGTGTTTAGGGAAATTGATACATCTTTTTATAAAAAACTAAATTAATCTTTTAATATACATAAATATATATTTATATATTACATACATATATAACACTTACTTCGCTGCTACTTTTTGTTGTTATATGAGCTGGGCCCAAGTTACTGTTGCATCCTTCTTGTATGATTGACTATCGTTTAACTTTATCACGCCTTGTCTCCTTTCCTTTGAAACGCATAATGCGGCCGAAAAATAATCCAATCATGATTTAACATAAATCATGCGAATCAATCTGGATGGTTTATGTCTGATACGTGTCCACCAAAATGTAATTTGGATCCGCACGTGATGGTTATGTGAGCAATATTATTGAAATTACATTATAAATCTAATAAAATTTGAATCACTTGGAAATGCTTGTTTAATTATTTTAAATTCATATTTAAGATTTTTATTTTGAATTTATTATTTATCCAAAGATAAACCCAATACTTAAGTTACTTCTTATTATATACTCTTTTGATTCTTAATATAAGACTTAGTCGAATAGTTGATGTTGCTTCCATACTTATCAATTTTTTTAAAATTAATTTTATTGATATTCTCTCAATAATAATGAAGTAGGAGAGGAAGGAAAGAAATTAGAAAGATGCTTAAGGTGTTTTATAAAAAGCATATTATATTAACTAAAACAACTAGCATCCTTAATCTACTCCAATTAGTTAATTACGTCTTACATTAAAGGCTAGAGGAGTATAATACTACTATGTAAAAGATAATAAAAAAATAAAGAGATCAAAATTACAGAGGTTAGAAAAAATAAAAATAAATAAATAATTTATCTTTTATGATTATCTGATATATGCGTTTTTCAATTTTACTACGTAAGAAGATGATTTATTTCTCTGTTAGTTCAGTCAACCTATGTTTACAAAGTTTGACTCATTAGTAAAGCTCTACCATATTAATTACCAAAAAATTTTGAGTATTTACAATAGTATTTCCCAAAAAGAGTAGATATTCATTAAAAATAATGTCTCATATCTATTAGAAAAATTTAATTAAATCCTGATTAATGCTCTCTTTATTCAAGAGATTAAATCCATAATTATTTAACTGAACAGCTATTATAATATTTTGGAGTATTAAGGTGAAAATTCATGAGCGTTGGACATCGATTCTATGGGGTTAAAATTACTATGATTTTAAATTTTTGGAGAAATATTGAATCCAATAAAATTTTTGAGTGCTTAGCACTCAAGTGAAAACTTCCAAGAAAAATTTACACTTTATCCTTTTTTTAATTACTTATACAAGTTTAGTTTCTTCTTTGAAAACTACAGTTACAAAGCATTCCTTCAATTCCCTGTAAAAGCTGAATAACTAAAGAAAAAAGAACTTTTAATGCTGAATAACTTTAATATATGCAATTATTATAAGGATTACTTTAGAAAAAATAGATAAATATGAAAGTCAAAGTGGGTTGAGATCTTATATTTAGGACTAAATTAAAAGTCAAATTAACTCTTATATTAAGGACCGGAGGTAGTAGTATTGACATGAAGTCTTTGAAGATTGAAACGTAAGAGGATTCATGATTATAAATTTATAATATAATTGCAAAAGGATGAAGATTTACTCCCAAGTAGAACTGCCAGAAGTCCTAAGGTTCCATTTAATACGAATCATTAAAAAAAAGGGATAATGATTGAGATTATAATTGAAAAAATCTATTAAAAGAGAGTTTAGCATGAGAGATTGCTTGTTACATTGGGATTGCTTGAGAAAATCTAAGGTCCCATTTAGTACAAAGCATTGAAAATAATGGATAAGGATTGTGATTAGAATCAAGAAAATTTATTAAAAGAGAATTTAGCACGAAAGATTGCTTGTTATATGGGATTAGACAAACCCATATATGTGATATTGGAGAATATCATAGGAGAAAGTGATATTTCCCAATCTCACTTTCATAAGTCTGTTTAATTCCATGTAACAAATAATTATTCATGCTAAATATATTTTAATGATTTTTTTTCAATTACAATCACAGTCTCAATCTCTTATTTTCAATATTTCATACAAAATGAGACCTAGAGTTCTAAGCTCTCGCGGCAACCTATAGCCCCAAAACCCATATCACAAATTAAAGTTTGCAATAAGCAAAACCAATATAAATAAAATTTCAATGGAAATTTATTAATTTCAATCCTCAGAATCTAATTACAGCAGTTAAACGCATGCATATGGGGGGGTGGAAAAAAGAAGATTTAATCATAAGATTTGGAAACAAAAATTTGAACCAACCGAAGGAAGGAGGTTTGACAAAGAGAGGCTCACAGATGGTGAATGACTGAGTCCCAACTTCACACACACATTTATATTCTAATCATAAGACATATATTTTAACCATTCAAACGTAATCTTCTATAAGATATTGTTTAAAATTATTCTTTTTTATAACTGTTTTAAAATTATTCGACATTTCATTTTAAAGTAATTCATCATACCAAATTTTAACACTTTCAAATTTGATTATTTATTTTTTTATAATTTAATATTTTAATAATAATTTTATGAAAGACCAAATCTAATCTGTTTAAATATTAATCTAACAGTTAGAGAGAAAAAAAGGAAAGAGAATTGGAGGTACAAAGACAGAATCATTTTTTCCCTCTACAGTTTACTAAATCTAATTAACCTTAAAGTTTACTCTCTCAAAGGTTTGGCCAAAAATATTTATTTCCCACAGTATTTCCCAAAGAGAAGAGACTTGGCCATTAGCATTTAACTTGATTTGCAATTTCTTACAAGAGGTTTACATTTTCTCTTTCTCTACACCAAGTATGAAAGATTTTACCATTAGGTTCATGTTCGTGTATAAAGATATCATATAATTGTAGTCCAACTTCATGTGTAAATTCCATAAAAGATGATAGTCTCATCTATCTATTTCAAAATGAAATTAAATTCTTATTGTTGCTTTCTTTATTTCACAAGTGTTTCATTATTTAATTGAAGTAATTTTTAATTATAAATTTTTTTAATTACAGATACAATCATACAACTTTATTAGTTTCTTCTTTGAAACTTGTAAAGCATTCCTTTCCCAGTAAAAGCTGAATAACTAAAGAAAGAAGAATTATAATTCATGCGGTAAAACAACAAAATTAAAGAATTACACAATAAATAATGAGTTACGAAAATTTATTCCACAGGCAATTGAAAGCGACACAATGGACAAGTATGGCCTGTTTTTAGCCATCTTACAATGCAATTATTATGGAAAAAATGGTCACAAGGCAATGCTGAAACATCCTCGTCACTATCATCATCATCAAAACTTTCCAAGCAAATGCTACATTGGCTTGTCCTCATTTCATCCTCGGACAATTCCATCTTCTTCAGTGACGACGCTATAACTTTTTCTGTTGCCGGAACTATAAACAACTGTTGCATGGATTGCTCTAAGACTTGATTGATTTCTGTTGATTCATCATGATCAGAAGATAGTAAATGATTAATGGATATCTCTGTGGGATGATAGATTTCTGCATGTATCGTGTATTCATTTGCTGCACTTAGAGCAGTAGTTTGAGGATGAAAAGACAAGGATAGCAAGTCTTGAATGGAAGAAGTATGGACATGAAGATACACATTTAGAGGTATTAAACGATGATGATGATGTTGAGTAGTAGCTTCTTGGTCGTAAGATCTGATTTCGGATGCCAATAACTGAATATTATTTTGGGAAAGATAGTTGGCTACGTTTTCACGAAGAAATAATAAAATTTCTTGAATTAATTCTTCACGAGACATGGTGATTGGACATTCAAACATTTCAAAAGGTGTCATTCGAAAAAGCCTCCTGTTGGGTGAAGTCCCATGTTGAATGAAAGCAAAACTGATTTGGAACATATCTTCCGTATCAAGTCTTCAGAAATCGAAGCCTATACTAAGAGGAGGGTTGCTTATGCTTTGTTTGTTGCGAGGGGAAATATTAGTTTAATTTGCTCTGGAAATTAAAAAAAAAAAAAGATAAATTTTTTAGAATAAAGAAAGGAAGAATATAGAATCTGATAAAGAATAGAAACATATTAAAGTCATGAAATATTTATATTAAAAGAGAAAAATAATTAATCCTAAAAGGGAAGCAGGAATAACAAGTGACTAAGCTTGGAGTATCATAGAAGCTCCCGCCCTGAATGAATATATATTTTTTCATTATATTATTTCAATATTTCTCATAAACTTATTCTTTTGCTTCCTTGTATTCGAAGTCATAAAAATAGAAATTAATGAGAAAAAGATTGATCCAACACAGACGATGATGATGATGATGGACTTCCACAAGGAAAAACGCCTAAACCTATAGCCCAAAACCCATGTCACAAATTGAAGTTTGCAATATAAATAAATTCTCAACCGAAATTTATTAATTTAAATCCTCAAAATCTAAACTAATCGAAGTATATACATAATTGTATATTCTAACAAAATTTGAAAACAGCAGAAATAAAAATTCAAACTAACCAAAGAATGAGGGAATAGCCTGGGACGGAAGTTTGACGGAGAGATCAGGGCCTCACCAATGGCGAATGACTTTTTTCCCACTCTATATGTGTGTGTATATATTGTAAGATTCTAAGAGGCAGACCGATATTTTAATGATTCAGATTATTAAATTAAAAAGATAAATCTAAATGGTTCAAATATTAATCTAACGAAAATGAAGATGGTAGAGTAAGAGAGAATCATTTTTCCTCTATCTCTATCTATCTATATCTATTTCACCTATAAAATATTGCTAAAAGATATGTTTTGAATTATTTTCTCTTTAAAAAATTTAAATTTAAGTCACTTTAACAGTATTATTATTAATTATTTAAAAACGATTCATTCTAGCACTTTTAAAATTGAAATTTAATATTTTTAGTTTGGTTTGTAATTTATCATGGATTAAATCTTTGTCGATTTTAAAATAGCCTTGATATTAATTATTTAAAAATAATTCATGCTAGCGTTCTTAAAATTTATTTTATTATTTAAATTTATAATTTGAACGTAGATAGACCCCACATTTAACTTACTCAATTCATACACATAATATATATATAACTAATTACTGTAACCCTATAATTTTGTGTGTTTTCTTATTTTTAATATCATTTTGCCTTTTTATAAAATATATATAACTGTAACTATTATTCTGATTTTTTTTCATAAAAGATTAAATACTTTATACAGCGGAATACGTAGTTTCAGCAACATTATCATCTGAATCCTAAAAATTCAATATCATTATCAAGTTTCATTTAGCGAAGTTTTCACCATTCATTACATGCTTTTTTTTTAAAAAAAAAATCATTCAAACGTGGTAGCTTAGAGATAAATCTGTTCCCTAAAATTATCATGAAGTTATTATAATGCCAAAGCCCTTAAATTCACCCTTGATCAATTATATGAGCATAAGATTATCTAATGACTTTGGACAAATTATTTATCTTCACATTTTTGTGTTTAGGTATGGATATATATATATATGGTAATGTGACTTAGATTTCTATTCAATCTTATAAAATTTTCAAGCTCAATCAAAACAATACAGCCTCTCTAAAAATATGTTCTGAATTATTTGCTTTTAAAAATTGAAAGTTGAATTAACGTACGTTTATTTTTTTTTTAAGTGAAAAATTGAATTTGTACCAATTTGAGTAAAGCTTGCTTTGCAATATTGCTATTTGCTAATAGTTTTTTTTTTTTTTAACTAGCCTATTTGCTAATAGATTGTCCTCGGAAGGTGAAAAAATAGAATTAAAAAAAAAAAAGGAAAGAAGTAAACGAAGAAAATGCAAATGAAGGAAAAAGACGGCTTCTTTTATATTAAACCACTTATTAATTTTTCGGTGAAAAAAACTACTTATTAATGTGTTAATCATTCACATCAAATCCTTAAGGATATATTTGATTAACATTTTTTTTGTAACAGATTTACATTTTTTTTTTCGTATATAGATATATCATATGAATGTAGCCCAACTTTAAGCCGAAATTTCATCAAACATAATCATCTCTACAAGCCAACTTGATTAGGGTTAGACGGTGCACGTTAAAAAGACCTATGTGATGACGAACTGGTTTTTAGCTAACTTTAACTCTCATAGTGATTTGACGGGTTTACCTTGTCAACCAATTAATTATTGTTTAGTTTCTTTAAAAAAATAATTTTAAAATATTTTTCTCATGCAATATAAATAAAACATAGTAAAATTTTTGTTTTTTCCTTCAAATGCTTGATTGAAAATACAAAATAAATGATATAGATATTTTTAAAATTTTTTTGAATAGGATATAAAATATAATAATATGATTACAATAACTAATAAAATTTAGAAAAAAAATTAAATGCACGTGACGGATTGTAAGTATGATGATACGGGTTCAAAAGTCTTACTTGCTGCTAGATTAACTTTTAACCAACTCTAACCTATCATTTTTGGCAGGTTGATCAGATTTATATTACCAACTCTAATTGTCATTATTTCAAAAATGAGATTAAATCCTTATTGATGCTTTTTATATTTCACACGTGTTATGTCCATCATTATTTAACTGAAGTAAATTTTTATTTATACATTTACCTATGTTGGTCACCGACGGAATAAAAGGAAGGGGAAGAGAAATTTTAATCAATTTGATTTAAGAAATTGAAGAAGTAAGAATTTTAAAATTTTAATAAAAAAGATGTAAAATATAAGAGTAATAAAAATTAATTAAAACTTTTTTTTGTAAGGAAAAGAGGCATAAGACCTAAACTAATTAAATCATTTTAACCCTACTTTTTCAATTTTTAAAATTAAGCTAATTATGGTCTTGTTTGGTTTCTTATTTTGAAAACAGTTTTTTTTAAAAAAATAAAAATAAAAAGCCTTGTTTTGTAATTTATTTTTGGTTTAATGATTTTTTAAAAAAAATTTGTTTTTAAAAACTAAAATAATTTTTAGCTGTTTTCTTGTTTTTGTTTGGGAAAATTGGTAAAGAAAAATCCCTGGTTGAAAATTTAATTGGCTAAAAAAACATGAATTTGAGCAAGTGCAACTATGATTCTTGAGTGCAATATATCTTCTGTTTTGTGCAATATATCATCAATGATATGTAATAATTATCAATACGGAAATTATTTGCACATAACAGAAGATATGTTGCATACAGCAGAAAATATGTTGCACTTAAGGATCATACTTGTACATGCTCAAATTTAGATCCTTTTAGCCAATTAAATTTTCAAACATGGATTTTTTTTTATCAATTTTCCCTTTTTGTTTTTTGTATTTCTTTTTTTTTTTTTTTTGTAAAAATCGAAACACCCTTTCTTCTCTGCTCAGTGACTTTTGCTCCGTTTGAGAATTTGAGTTCTACTCAAAACTTAACCCTCTGGTCTCAGCATGTTTACCTTCAAATACAATTTTTTAGAACAATTATCCAAGCAGATATTTTTTGTTTTTTATTTTCAAAATGTGCTTTAAAAAATAATTTTATAAAATTGTTTTGAGAACAAAAAATACAAAACAAAAACAAAAAAAGCCCTAAAATTTTTCATCCCCTTTGTTTCCCTCCATTTCCCTCAAACCAAACAAATGAAATCCTTTTTTTTTTTTTCCTTCGAAACCTACGAAGCGCTCCTTCCTAGTAAAACCTCAATAACTAAAAGGCAAAGAAGTTTAAATTCATGCCGAAAAACAACCAAAGAATACATATATAACAACCAAGGAATACATGTCACTAAGAAATATTGAATTATGAAAATTTATTGTAACAGTACAAAACAGTATGATAATGAATGTAATTCATGAAATTAATTACTCTACAGGGAATTGAAAGCGACACAACGGACATGTATGGCCTGTTTTTAGCCATTTTGCAATACAATCATTATGAAAAAAATGGTGACAAGGCAAAGCTGAAACATCTTCATCATCATCATCAAAACTTTCTAAGCAAATGCTACATTGGCTTGTCTTCATGTCATCACTGGACAATTCCATCCTCTTAAGTAAGGCCATAGCTTTTTCTGCTGCTGGAACTATAAACAGTTGTTGCATGGATTGCTCTATGACTTGATTCACTTCTGTTGATTCATCAGAATCAGAAGATTGTTGATGATGAATAGATGGCTCTGTGGGATGATAAATTTCTGTATATACCATATATTCATCGTACTCATTATCTGCATATAGAGCAGTAGTTTGAAGATGAAAAGACAAAGGAATTAAGCCATGATCAGAAGTAGTATTGACATCAAGATACACGATCAGAGGTATTAAGTGGTGATAATAACGAGTAGTTCCATTAATGGCGGTACGTTGGACTACTTGTTGGTAATAAGATATGATTTCAGAAGCCAATGGCTCAATATTGTTTTCGGAAATATAGTTGGCTACGTTTTGACGAAGAAATAATGGAACATCTCGAATTAATTCTTCACATGGCATTGTGATTGGAGATTCAAACACTTCAAGAGGTATCCTTCGAGGAAGCCCGGTGAATGGTGAAACCCCATGTTCGATGACTGTGAAACTGATCTCGAACATGTCTTCCATCAACTCCTCGGAAATTAAAACGTAAGAGGATGTCATGGTTGGATGGTTGGGTGAGGGTTGCTTTGTTTGTTTCTTGTGAGGGAAAATATCAGTTTGATCTGGAAAGAACAGAAGATAAATTTATAAGAATATAAAGTAATAATATAGAATTAGATAAAGAATTGAAAAAATATAATGTCTTGAAATATTTATATTAAAGGAGAAACATAATTAATTCTCAAAGGGAAGCAGGAATAACAAAGTGACTAAGCTTGGACTCTCATAGAAGCTCACTCCCAGAATATGTTTTTTTTTTTTTAAAAAAAATTATATTATTGCAATATTTCTCATAAACTTATTACTTTGCTTCCTTGTATCATAGAAATAGAAAAGAATGGGAAAAAGACTGACCCAACACAGATGATGATGGGCTTCCACATGAAAAAACGCCCAGAACTATAGCCTAATACCCAGATCACAAATTAAAGTTTGCAATATAAATATATAATAAGCAAAATCCCCATAAATAAATTTTCAGCTGAAATTTATTAATTTCAGCCCTCAATGTCTAAGTCAATAGAAGTATATACACGTAATTATAAATTATAAGTTATAAGTTCTAACAAAATTTGAAAACAGCAGAAATAAAAATTCAAACTAACCAAATGATGAAGGAATGACGTCCGACAAAGGTTTGACGGAGAGATCAGAGGCTCACCAATGGCGAATGACTGTGTTCCGACTCTCCATATATATATATATATATATATATATATATATAACTATATATATTCTAAGATTCTAAGAGGTCGTAGATCAATATTCTAGTGATTCAGATTTAATATTTTATAAAATATTATTTAAATTTTTTATTTACTTCAGTTTTACATATTAATATAAAATCTTAGCAGTTTGAAGTTTTATTATTTATTTCTTTATAATTTAATACTTCAAATATCATAATTTCATTTAAAAATCTAAATCTAAATCTAAATAGTTCAGATATTAATCTAACGAAAACGAAGAAGATCTTAAGGTAAGAAGAGAGAATCCCTTTTTTTCTAGCTCTCTCGCTCTCTCGCTCTCTCTCTATCCCATCTACATGACATTGTTAAAAGATATGTTTTCTATTATTTTCTGTTAAGAAAAATTTGACTAAGTCAAATTTGACCAATGTTAATTATTTAGGATCAGTTCATTCTAGCTCTCTCAAGTTGAAATTTAAGAGTTTTAGTTTGATTTTATAATTTATCATCGATTAAATCTAACGTTTAATTTACTCTTTCTAAAACAGAATTTAACTTTAAAAGATAAGATATTACAATATCTTATTAGTATATTTCAATATATTGCCTCAGATCCTTTGAATTATCCTGTCTGGGTATATCTTATCCTATTCCATTTATTGTATTTTTTTATTAGTTCTTTTCTTTTAAAAAAACATTTGGTTTATGAATAAGGGCCTCGGGCCTAGTAATAAATTAGGGTTTTTAGATGTTTTAACTTTTAAGTTTCAAACTAGGGTTTTAATATATTTATATGAAAATATATTAATAAAAGATACGTGTGTGCACATATCTCGCTTACACACATATGATAATTCTGCAAACTTTCACTTCCTAACGATGCTCAAATGAATGTGATCGTTCAAGCCATTCTTTCATTGCCCTCTTATTTTTTCTGCTTTTTAACTCTTGCATCTGATTTTTAATTGATATCATTTTGATCTTTTAGGGGACAAAAAGTATTTGTATATATAAGGAAAAATTAGCTAGTTTGCAAGTTCTCACAGTTTTACTTGGTTTTTAATCAGGACCTTTTAGTTTTTTTCCCCCTCCATTTTATCAAGGGCTTATAGTCTTACATGCTTATAGTTTCAGATGATTTTAATTGAGTCCTTGTGCCTTTTTTCTTTTTATCAATGACTTGAAACTATAGGGACTTAACTGAAAATTAGGTGAAATTATAAGACCCGATAAAATTAAAAAAATTGTAATGACTTAATTGAAAATAGGTAAAACTGTAAGAAACTTGACGAAAATGAAAAAAAAAAACTACAAAAACTTGATTAAAAATAGGGTTAATAGGAACCCAATACTTTAAATTATTTTTGGAGATGCTTCTAGCACCCTAAAATATTTAGAGAAGCAATTTTGCCCCTAAAATATTTGCCTTTATAATACAAAATAATTTTTTTTTTTTTATGAATACGCCATTGTTTTAATTCAGTAGCAGATGTTAAAAGCATAGGAGAGCAGCAAATGATTCAGTTTGACATGTAAATCATAATTTTCAAGTCTGTTTAAAATAGCTTATAGATAACTTCTTAATCATGTATGATTTATGAAATACAAGATAAATATGTTAAAAAAAGTTTGTCTCGACTTACGTTAAATTTGCTTATAAGTGATCCTAAGGCTTCATCACCCCTCTAGAGGATTGCATATTGCCACTGTTGTCCGAGTCCATGAGAGAGATAAAGAGCGGAAAATGGAAAGACAAAAGTATGAGAAAGATGTGGGTTACTTGCAGCAGAGAGTTTTTTTTTCCCCATAAAATTCTTACAGTTTTACCTATTTTTAATTAAGTTATAAGGTCAAAAAAACTTGCTGATTAATTTTTCTGGTGTAAACATATGAGAATGAAGGCAGGGGTTAGGGGAGTAACATCAACGTGAGTCATCAGCTAGTGAGGATTTTGTATGGACTTCTTTTTAATTATCTATTCGGAAGTCCTCATCATATCTCCTTTTCACACACGCACACAAAACGTCTATGGTCCTTAATATAAGAGTTAGATATGACTCATTTACCGATATTAAACAAGTTATTTAAATTAGTTATTTATAATAAATGGGTAATCTTTCCTAAATACCTTATATCAATCATGTGTATTAAAATTACCATTTTGTAAAAACTCATTAATATATGTAATTATCATGTGGATTATTATTTAAGGGCAAAATAAATAAATATTAGAGATAAAGTAGATGGAGCTCTTATAGTTATGATCAATTATGATCACCAATTAACTCTTATACTAAGCAATAAAACATATATAACCAAAACAACCCATTGATCCGTAGAACAAAATCTCGAGTTTTCAACTGACAAAAGTCATTTCCATGATGTTGGGAGATTACAACGTTCGTCATTAGTTCTACCGAAGAAAGAAAGCCGTACGTACGTACGTGAGCCTTCATGGATGTTCAAAACAATTACAGTAGTCACTAGGCTTCATTCACATCAGAGTCCATCCTCTTCATATTTAACATAATAACCACCTTAATTATATAACACTACAACAAACAAAGTAACAACGATAACACAACAAACGAGTCAGCTATTTATATATATCTTCATCACAAACCAGCAGCTAGCAGCAGAAACCCTAACAATTACAGACACTGATCGCTTAATAGTTAAAAGGGAGATATACCGACGTTTGTGGGACCCAAATATCCTTCTTTCATAAGCACCTCTTCTCCTTCCTACACGCATAACATTTACAATTCCATATCAGAAACCCTGCGAACACATGCCTACACCTCTCATCCGATAGCGCTATGTGGTGTAGTTTTTGTAAATGACCTAATTACTTTTAGTAAAATTATTTGTCACTTAGATGTGATCATTTAGTAAGTTAAAATTGATATTCAACAAGAAACTTTTGTAAAATTAATTCTCACTTCTTTAGTAGTCGTCATTAATAAACTATTCCTTTGATTCTTAATGCAAGACGGCAACACCTATATAACTAATTTAATTAAATTAATAAAGTTAGGTAAGTTAGTTAATTATAATAAATATAATATGTTTTTTTCTAAAATATCCTCATAATCTTCTTTAATATCCTCCCTCTTTTACTTGATTATGATTTAGAAAATATCAATATATAGGGTAATATAAGAAAAATTAATAAATATCATAAATAAATCTAAATTTATGATTAAGGCTGACTCTACAATTAGGTCTTACATTTGGACCGAAGGAGTGTTTTCAAATTAAGGGCATTTTGGTAATTTCAGTATAAAATTTAATCTCAAAATAATCCCTAGTGACTTCACAATAATGGTTAGACCATTTTAGGATCCTAAATTGGGCTTTTCAGATTTTGGGATATTTTTATGTCTTTCTCCCTTTATTATTTAAATCTTTACAACCTGTAATACCACGATGCTACATTCTTTTCTTAATATAAAATATATTTAACTAATTTAAGTAGATAAGAAAAACTATAAAATTAATTATTTGTAAAAAATAGTTGTTGGTTTTCTTTAAATACTTTTTTAAATCATTTGCATTGAGACTTTTCCTCATATGAACTTCCTTAACATGCATGTGTAATTAATAAGTATAGTTTAAAAATAATATGATAAATATAAAAGGCCAAATAGATTAAAATCTCATATTTAAAATCAAATCTAACTCTTTAAATAGCACTTATAGCCTTATATTAAGAACGGGGTAATGTTAGTTATCAACTTCTTAATTTAAGAAATTTATCTGCTTAGGTGTATCTTTTGTTGTGCGACCTAAATCAAATGAAGAAAGGAACTAGGGCTTAAGAATGGTACACTCAAGTCGTATCATATGTTTGCTAAAATGTTAGAAATTGGGAGAATGACAAATACATATATTTAAAATTATTAAATTCTAAATCAAGATTTGTTATCATACTTTAACAGGTTTTGACAAAACTTGACCTGCAAATAATAACATATTTATATAATAATACGTGATTTGAGATTTTGTAATTTTTATGATTTTTTTTGGGTCAATTTCCCCGTCAAAATTTGAATTGAGTTTGAAGTTGAAATTTCCGCAAAAATAAAAATGAAAATGAAAATAAAGTAAACGTACTGTAGCTAGGGTTCCGAGATGTACCTGGCGCACATTGGCTTTCTTCACGGGTTGATGATCAGGCATGAGTCCGAAGTGTATGTGAGGGAAATGGGCCCACTGAAAGGAACAAGTCAAAGGGACTCGTTTATCAAAACACCCAACTCCTTTTTAAGCGCATATATATTCTTTTTTTTTTTTTTTGACCAGCCATATATATTCTTTATATAGTCCAGGATACATAATGAATTAATGATATTAAGAAAAATATTATTACTTTTTTTTGCCCATAGAAAATATAATTACTTATACTATGTATGTGCCATTTTAATAAAATTTTCCTTCTTTATTACTCGTAATTATTTTATATGTGTTCATGGTTATGAATATATTGAAAATTCCAGTAGCCAAAGAATATATATTGTTTTAATTTTAAATATTTAACATTGTTTGAAATTTATATAATAGAAGAAATCCATTGTAGAGTAATTAAGATTTAGAATCTTCTTGGATCTTACATTCTTTGCAGCTGCACTAAAGGCCTCTCTGTGGCTTATATCAGGATTCCCAGCTTTGATGCGTTGGATCTCGTCCCTGAAATTCAAATTACCAAAGTTATGTCCAGCTTTAGATTTAATTTTCAGAGCTATTTGACAAAATTTATTAACAAGTTAACAACTCTAATTAACATTTATATTTATCAACTCTTGTTCATTAGGTGACATATACAATATAGATGTTACTCCTAGATTGCCTAAACCATAATATCTCTTTCAT